TGTATGTTCAGGAGAGGAGCTTTTGTGCATGAAAAATGCGTACAAATGTGCAATAGCATGCGTTAATGCATTCTGATGGCCAATAGAATGCATTAATACCATTTACAGGAACGTGCATGCAAAAATTCAGCTTTTTACCTCCTTTATTCTGAAAACTCCTGTATCTCAAAAAACATTTTTGAGCTGCTCAGAGTGCATTAGGACTTTTACTGAAAGCACAGAACAGTGCTCTTCATGTAAATTGTATATAAACCCAAATATTAAAGTTGTATAAATGCCTTCTTTTGCCTTGTAAATGTTGTTGTACCAGGTTTTTTGTTTTTATATTGGTAATGGTTTAAAGCAGAAGTAGGGCTAAAGCTCTTTTGGTCATACTTCTCCTTTAGATTACAGGAGTGCAGTAAGCAGAGCATAGAGCCAGTGACTGACAGGTCACCTCTCTTTGCTCACTGAAGACTGTGAACTGAGTAATCAGCTGTCTTTGATCACTCAGTTCTTGATCTTAGAGTTGGTGGGGGACTGTTGCTGCATCCACCCAGTTGAGTATGTAGGGTTCTTCACCCCCCCCCCCCCCAAAAAAAAAAAACAAACTTCTCTTTTAACAAATAACTGTTCACCCTTCCAGTTCTTGTTCTTAGGCATTCTTGTTATAAGGTTACAAACCTAGCCACATGGTAGGGCTATCACCTTGTCCTGGGGCTGTAACATTGCATCGTTGGGGTTCAGCATGTTGAGGAAACAAACAGCTCAGTTCTGACTTTTTTTTTTTTTTTCATTTTTGTGTCCTGACAGCCCATTTAAATTGGAAAGGCTGCCTTTCCACAACACTTGTTAACATCTGTGCCATAATGCATCTCAGTGCACCACACAGTGTGGAGGAGGGCTAAAGGTTTACCAAGATCCACAGAAATAGTGTGCAGTTTTTTGCAGCTATTACCATATTATATTATATATGGCTATTGCGATCTTATGTTGCCCCATGCCTTCTTCCAGCTTTTCAGCTCCCCCTGCCAACAGCAGAAAGCCTCTGAATAGGCAGCACAAAGCTGCCCAGGGCCACGTCCACAGACAGCGCAACATACTGTATATGAGGAAGAAAGAACCTATCCCCAAAAGCAGCATTATAATTTAAGCACACTTTAAAGAGGAATTCCACTCAAGAGTGGAAGCTCCGCTTGCTTGCCTCCTCCCCCCCTCCACTGCCATATTTGCCACCTTTTGGGTGGGGTTTTGGTTTTGACAGGTACCTGCTCCCACTTTTGGTTCAGTTCGCTGTGGCGAAGTGAGCCAGAAGTTCGGACCCCTCCTTCTTCCTGCAGTCTCCCGGGAACCTTCACAGGTCCCAGAAGACTGCTGGACCAATCAGAATACGCAGTGCGACTCACGCATGTGCATTGGGCACCCAGCTGTGAAGTTGCAAGCTGTCCCAGCCTGGTGCCCACAATTGTGATGCTGGCGCCGAGGAGAGAAGAAGGAAAGAAGGGACGGTGTACATCGCTGGACCCTGGGACAGGTAAGTGTGTGTGTTTTTATTAAAAGTCAGCAGCTACAGTTTTTGTAGCTGCTGACTTTTAATAAACACAAAACTGACTGGAACTCTGCGTTAAGCCAAAGCATGAATGCAAACTGCAGTCTTTGGGTTTACATTGACTTTAAAGTGTTACTAAACCCAGGACCCTGCATTCACTATAGAGTGGGGAAAAAAATGTTTTGATCCCTTGCAGATTTTGTAAGTTTTCCTACTCAATTGTTTTCCTACTTACAAAGAAATGAAGGGTCTATCATTTTTTTTTATCATAGGTGTATTATAAATGATAGAGACAGAAAATCAACCAAAAATCCAGAAAAAAAATTGAGTTGCAGTGCAGTGAGTGAAATAAGTATTTGATCCCCTACCAACCAACAATAATTCTGGCTTTCACAGAATGGCTATGTGCTCATGTGGTACACAGATTAGTCCTGGCAATTTAAGAAGGTACTCCTAATGACAAATCGTTGTGTATAAGGCCCCTTTCATCTATTCTCCTCTATGGAGCGGCATGTGTAAATGTACATCTGTCCGTTTATACCCGCCAACATCCAATCTGATCCAATCCGCCAAAAAGAGACGGATGGGATCCATTCCTCTTCCGTCCATTGGATCGAAAGGAATGGCAGTCAGATGGAAATGGACAGGTTCCACAGTGAGCACAAGAAGAATGCTTTACTGCTTATACAGATTGATTTTATGGATGTGGGTTTAGTAACACTTTAATGTGCAATTCTTTAGGTCTTTTAATTGTAGAGCAAAAATTGTCTACGTATCTAGTTTGACAAGACCATGGTGTACCCCCAAAACCAATGCACTAAATAAAAGGCTTCAAAATCTTTTAAAAATGGACAGATGCAGTACAAAAAAAAAAAACCTAACAGCAGCATAATCTTTGCTGTTTTATTCACCATGACATGTTAGTGCATATTCAAGCTCATCCAGTTGGAGCTCCTGCCATGCACAAGGCATTGATGTTTAGGCAAGATATTGCCTAAAGCTGCTCTGGAAAAAAAAAAATTCCATTCACTCTGATAAAATTATGCTATTCAGAGCTTGCCCTAGTCTTAAATTGGTCATATACTGTTAATTTGTTTTCATTTAGCCTGCTGGTTGAACAAATATATACTAACAGGCTCCTCCATCTACAAAAACAAGGTGAAGAAATCCCCCGCCAAGACACTGCATTCTGACAGCAACAGGTGCCACTGTCAGAATACAATGATCAGCAGCTGCAGTTGATCGTCAGCAGCTGCTGATTGAGGGAAAACTCTCTATATTGCCCCTTCGACAGATGTGGCAAGCGATCAACTTCCGTTAAGCGCAAATTATCAAAATATAAATAAAATGTGCAGTGCCCAAAATTAAGAATAGCAACCTATGTCAATCAATAGTTTAAAAAAAAAAAAAAATATATATATATATATATATATATATATATATATATATATATATATATATACACACACACACACACACACACACACATACAGTATCTCACAGAAGTTAGTACACCCCTCAGATTTTTGTAGATTTTTTTTATACCTTTTCATTTGACAAGACTGTAGAAATGACACTTTGATACAATGTATAGTGAGTGTACAGCTTGTATAAGTGTAAATTTGCTGTCCCCTCAAAATAACAACACACAGCCATTAATGTCTAAACCGCGGACAACAAAAATGAGTACACCCCTAAGTGAAAAGGTCTCAGGTGTGAATTGGGAGCAAGTGTGTTAAATTTGGTGTTCTTTCTCTCACTCTCTCATACTGGTCACCGGAAATTCAACATGGCACCTCATGGCAAAGAACTCTCTGAGGATCTCAAAAAAAGAATTGTTGCTCTACATAAAGATGGCTTAGGCTATAAGAAGATTGCCAAGACCCTGAAACTGAGCTGCAGCACGGTGGCCAAGACCATACAGCGGTTTCACAGGACAGGCCTCGTCATGGTAGACCAGAGGTGTTGAGTGCACGTGCTCAGCATCATATCCAGGTTGTCTTTGGGAAATAGACGTATGAGTGCTGCCAGCATTGCTGCAGAGGTTGAAGGGGTGGTGGTGGGGGGGCAGCCTGTCAGTGCTCGGACCATATGCCGCACACTGCATCAAATTGATGCATGGCTGTCATCCCAGAAGGAAGCCTCTTCTAAAGATGATGCACAAGAAAGCCTGCAAAACATTTGCTGACGACAAGCAGATTAAGGACATGGATTACTGGAACCATGTCCTGTGGTCTGATGAGACCAAGATAAACTTATTTGGCTCAGATGGTGTCAAGTGTGTGTGGCGGCAACCAGGTGAGGAGTACAAAGACAAGTGTGTCTTGCCTACAGTCAAGCATGGTGGTGAGAGTGTCATGGTCTGGGGCTGCATTAGTGCTGCCAGCACTGGGGAGCTAAAGTTCATTGAGGGAACCATGAATGCCAACATGTACTGTGACATACTGAAGCAGAGCATGATCCCCTCCCTTCAGAGACTGGGCCACAGGGCAGTATTCCAACATGATAATGACCCCAAACACACCTCCAAGATGACCACTGCCTTGCTAAAGAAGCTGAGGGTAAAGTGAAGGACTGGCCAAGGATGTCTTCAGACCTAAACCTCCTCAAACGGAAGATGGAGGAGCGCAAGGTCTCTAACATCCACCAGCTCCGTGATGTTGTCATCAGGAGTGGAAGAGGACTCCAATGGCAACCTGTCAAGATCTGGTGAACTCCATGTCCAAGAGGTTTAGGCAGTGCTGGAAAATAATAGTGACCACACTAAATATTGACACTTTGGGCCCAATTTGGACATTTTTACTTAGGAGTGTACTCACTTTTGTTGCCAGTGGATGTGATCTAGTCCCTGCTGTTACACCTCCTCATTGGCAGAGCAGATGCTGTTTGACGTACAGAGATGAGGTCATGAAAATTCAATTAGACTTTTCTCCTAAATTGTAAGGATTTTCAAAATTGTATTAATTGTTTAGTGTTTTGTGCAGGATGATGTAGTGATGGGTGATGTTTTTGCTTATCCTGGAGTTCTTTAAGTCTACATACTATAATTATGGCCACAGTGGGACAGTGCCAAAAAAACAAATTTTAAAGTTAACATTTTATGAAAGAAAAGTTCTCGGTTATAGCTCACAAGCTAGACGTGAAAAAGTTGTGAGCAAGTGGTCCAGTTCCAGGGGCACAGTAAGTGTTGAGGTTTTTATATTATGAGATGCGAATGGCTTCACTTAGCAATGTAACACAAAGAACAATCTCATTTCTCTAACCATTTGAAACCTGCACAGAAGAGAAAAAAAAAAAAAAAAGAGAAGCAGAAGGCAACTTTGAATCTGCCTGGTTGCCAATATAAAAAGTTCATTATTTTGTTTTATTTATTTTTTTATCATTGACAGTTCTGTTCATCAGGGTTCAAATCATTAAATTGCTGGCAAGCAAATAGGTAAACATTTTGAGAAACATGCAAGCAGAAACATACCTTTTCCCAGTGCACAATCTCCCAGGCACCATTTCTTAGAACTGGAGGAGGAAAGAAAACTTTGAATCAGATCTATTACACAGTCCACCAAGATCTGCACAAAACACCAGCCAAATTACATAAAAGGTTCATCTAAAACCACCTCCCAGGTAGATTTGTCCAAGAACCATACATACTAGAAGACTCTCACTGATTATTATTATACAGGATTTATATAGCGCCAGCAGTTTGCACAGCGCTTTACAATATAAGAGGGACAGTACAATTACAGTACATTTCAGTACAGAAGGAATATGAGGGCCCTGCTCGTGGAGCTTACAATCTAAAGGAAGGGGGAGGTGATACAAAAGAGGATAGCAGCAGGTGATAACCTGATGGAGGTGATTCAAGTACAATTCTTAGGTGGAGGTGGGGTAGAGTAGGCTTCCCTGAATAAGTGAGCTTTCCAAGATAGCCTAAATGCAGACAGGGTGGGGGGCCTGACCAGACATACTGTGGTAGGGAGTTCCAGAGGATGGGAGAGGTCCTGGAGGCAAGCATGGGAGGAGGTGATGAGGGAGCTAGAGAGGAAGATATCTTGGGAGGAGCGGAGTGGACGATTTGGGCAATATCTGCAGATTAGGTTGGCGATGTAGCTAGGGGCAGTGTTGTGGATGGCTTTGTAAGCTGTGATTAGTATTTTGATTTATATACCTTGGGTTAGTGGAAGCCAGTGAAGGGATTGGAAGGGATTAAACATTTTCTTAATATTCAAAAGCTTTCTGATCATGAGATTGTCTACTTCTCAGGCATAGCTGATGGAAAAGTAGTAATGCCCGATATCATGTGTGGTCATTCCCAATATCATAGTTGAAACTCAACAATCTTGATAAAATACTCTTCATCTACTCTAAGCTGTACTATAAAAGATAAAAGGACAATAATGTCCGAAGCACTGCTGTCAGACCAAAAAACAAAACGACCCAGTTATGTTTTAACTGCAACCATTGCTTTCTTCTTTTTGTGTGTTTTTTTTTGCTGGACAGAGCAAGCGGTCAGAGCAAGAGCCCATAGTCAACAAAACAAAAAACAAAACAAAAACACACACATGCAATGAGGTTGGAAAATGACATTTAATGGAAATGTTCTTTCACCTTTTAAGCCTGGTTTGCAGTAGTATGATTTATTTCTCACAGAATCGCATGACAATGAAAATAACATTGTTTTCAATGGTGCGGTTCACATCAATGCACTGCAACTGCGATGCAAGTTTGGGAAAGGGTTCTGTGCTACTTTAGTGCGATGCAGAGCAATTTTGTGGCCCATAGACTTCAATAGAAATGTATAATAAAATGCATGTGTAGTAATAGTGCACGCCATAAAATCAAGTCTAAAATGCACAATCCTTAAATTGCATCAGAATCGCATTTTCATCACATCAACATTGCAATGCAGAATTGCACCTCAAATTACATTCAAAACGGATAGCACTAGTTTAAACCAAGCCTTACTGGGTTGGATTTCAGCTCAAGCATTGGCTCCTGCCATGCTGTCTCACTGTACAGTGTTAATACAGAACTAGTATGGGGGAGATATTAGGGAACACAGGCGCCATACAATCAGTGACACCCACTACAAGGTCTGTAACCATAACGTTTCTGTGAATGAGATACTAACAGAACCAGATTATCCACTGGTCAACCAATACATGAGTCTTGGTGGATGTCCAGAGGGCCCATCTACAACCTTTATTATTCTGCAGTAAGTCAGAGGGAGAATCCAATTGGTCAACGCTGTACACCTACCGGCCAATTTTCAAGGGAAAATGCATTTGTAATCTAAACTTGTGACAGGCCCAACAGGCACAGGATCTTTTGGAAAGGACTGCAGGCTAGCCTCTTGCCTTGTATGGGTCCTGGCGTTTGAGGGGGCTCTTCTTTGGGAGGTGTGTGCCTGGGGGGCCTTTTGGAGCAGTTGTACCTCTGTGCTCAAACCAACATTGACTGCTTCAACCTCCTCCTAGACTCAGAGCAGAAGTTAATATAATCAGCTCAAAACAACCTGTGCAATCTGTTTAAGGTGTTGTGTGTTTACTGTTGTGTCTTTCTCCCACTGTTAATTGAGTAACCTATTGTTTGTCTGTTGGCTAATTCTCCTGGGAGGTTCCTACATGATGGGATTAGTCTTGTGTCAACTTTACCTCATTACCTAATCATTGGGAGATGTTTATCCCAATGTGTAATATTTGTTTTTATTGTTCATGTTGGGACTGCCCCTACTTCTGAAGTGTATAAAAAACCTGTATTTCTGTTCAATAAAGAGTTCCAGTTGCACCTAAGCTAGTGTTGTCTAGTTCAATTCCCAGCTATAATACCTTCTTCCTGTGTTCCAGTGACGAGGGAGCAGCTCACTGGCGGATGCACCCAGGCGGGGTGCCAGATGGTCCATCACATTTGGTGGCAGCAGTGGGATCTGCTTCCTCCCTACAGAAAAGTTCCAAACCACCACCAGAACAGTGTTGAGTGATATCAAAGAAGTGTCCCAGGAGCCAGTGGCCATGAAAGCAGAGTTCCAGTGGTGAATGCAAGAAACATTAGCCCAGTGCAGAGAGCCTGGTTCTGCCTGGGATGCGCTGGAATTGAGAGACACAATCTGCTGGGAGTTCTGGAGGGACGCTCTCAAAGTTGAACAATACGGTTATGGAAAGGGCCTCCCTATGACCATGGATTGGTACTGGCTGCAGCTGGATAGGCTGGTCCAGATGGAAATGATAGTGGACGATGGGTATCGGGCACTGCAATGGTATGCCACCCAAGTGTTTCCATGGCTGGAGAACAGCAATCCCATAGAAGGATATGACTTCAGCGGGCCGAGATTGATATTTGAGGTGCTTCAAAAGGATCCACATTGGTGGTGCAGCAGAGTGGAGGTGCGAGGACAGAAATGATTTTAGGGATTTGGAACTTCCCAGTAAGCATGGATTGAAAAGTGACTTGGACTTTACAGTCACAAGAATGGGAGCTGGAACAAGCATATAAAAGACTGTTCGACAAAGCTCAACAGCATGCCCCAGAACCAATAGATGTATGGATTATCAGTCACCAACAGAAGCGTGGCATTAGGCAGAGTGTTGCCAACCTCTACCCAGCACCTTCAGCAGCTCTGGGGATCAAGGGAGAGGAGATCGTGAACCTTTATCTCCCACCACCAGCTCCAGAGATTAAGGATGTAATAGAGACTCTGCTGAGGAAGAACAAACCAGTGAGCCTCCAGCAGAAGAGTTGGTATCAGTGCAAAGAGTTGCAATCCTCTGTCCAGCACCGGCATCACCTCTGGAGCTCCAGGGAGCTGGGGCAGGTGACCCATCTTCCCAGCAGCAGTTCCACAGTCCGGGAGAGAAGGTGGTTGTCCTTTCTCCCCAGCGGGAAAGCCACAGTCCGATGAGAAGGTGGTCCTCCTCCCTCCCCAGTGGCACTGTATGGGACTTGGGAGAGAAGGAAGAAGCCCTCGCTCCACAACGGGAGTCTGGGAGATGGAGCAACTGGCTCATCTCCCAAGTGGCAGTTCCACAGTCCAGGAGAAAAGGCGATTATGATCCCTCTCCAGCGGCAGATCCACAGTCTGGGAATGAAGGAAGCCATCCTCCCTCCCCAGTGGCAGATCCATAGTCTGGGAGCGGAGGAAGCTGTCCTCCCTCCACAACAATTAGCTAGAGTGGAGGATGAAGGGTTATCTGCTGAAGTGCTGCCAACAGGGCAGAGCACCACTGTCCTTTGTCTTGCACCTACCATGGCTCCAGGGAGTTGGGGCAGGCGGCCCTTCTCCCCGGCAGCAGACTGATCTCCAGAACAGTAAAGACCTCCCAGCTGAAGCACTGGCAACAGGGCAGAGCAACAGTGGCCTCTGTCTAGCACCTTATGTGTCTTCACGGCTCCAAGGACTCAGGGCAGTCAGCACTTCTCCCCATAAGAATAATTAGTCCTGGAATGGTAAAGACCTCCCAGCTGAAGCACTGGCAGCCTGACAGAGGGTCCGCGACTTCTGCTCCACACCTACAGACAACAACTCTTCCATGCGGCCAAGAATGGAGATTGTGTGGAAAGACTATGTGGGTTCACTCTTCCCAACTAAAACATGTCCAGACCAGGTGGAGGTCTGGGACCTGGTTAGTCTACTTTTGAGGGGGGAGAAATGTGACACACCAAACCAGGACAGGGTCTTTTGGAGGGGACTGCAGGCTAGCCTCTTGCATACCAACTATGGGCACTGGCGTTTGAGGGGGCTCTAATTTATGGGAGGCATGTGCCTGGAGGACCTTTGGAGTAGTGTATAATCAGCTCAAAACAATCTGATGCTGAGGTCTGCTGTAATCGGTTTATTTAGGTGTTATGTGTTGACTGTTGTGTCTTTCTCCCATTGTTAATTGAATTACAGTCAGGTCCATAAATATTGGGACATCGACACAATTCTAACATTTTTGGCTCTATACACCACCACAATGGATTTGAAATGAAATTAACAAGATGTGCTTTAACTGCAGACTGTCAGCTTTAATTTGAGGGTATTTACATCCAAATCAGTGAACAGTGTAGGAATTACAACAGTTTGCATATGTGCCTCCCACTTGTTAAGGGACCAAACATAATGGGACAGAATAATAATCATAAATAAAACTTTCACTTTTTAATACTTGGTTGCAAATCCTATGCAGTCAATTACAGCCTGAAGTCTGGACCGCATAGACATCACCAGACGCTGGGTTTCATCCCTGGTGATGCTCTGCCAGGCCTCTACTGCAAGTGTCTTCAGTTCCTGCTTGTTCTTGGGGCATTTTCCCTTCAGTTTTGTCTTCAGCAAGTGAAATGCATGCTCAATCAGATTCAGGTCAGGTGATTGACTTGGCCATTGCATAACATTCCACTTCTTTCCCTTAAAAAACTCTTTGGTTGCTTTTGCAGTATGCTTTGGGTCATTGTCTATCTGCACTATGAAGCGGCGTCCAATGAGTTCTGAAGCATTTGGCTGAATATGAGCAGATAATATTGCCAAAAACACTTCAGAACTCATCCTGCTGCTTTTGTCAGCAGTCACATCATCAATAAATACAAGAGAACCAGTTCCATTGGCAGCCATACATGCCCACGCCATGACACTACCACCACCATGCTTCACTGATGAGGTGGTATGCTTAGGATCATGAGCAGTTCCTTTCCTTCTCCATACTCTTCTCTTCCCATCACTCTGGTACAAGTTGATCTTGGTCTCATCTGTCCATAGGATGTTGTTCCAGAACTGTGAAGGCTTTTTTAGATGTCGTTTGGCAAACCCTAATCTGGCCTTCCTGTTTTTGAGGCTCACCAATGGTTTACATCTTGTGGTGAACCTTCTGTATTCACTCTGATGAAGCGTTCTCTTGATTGTTGACTTTGACACACATACACCTACCTCCTGGAGAGTGTTCTTGATCTGGCCAACTGTTGTGAAGGGTGTTTTCTTCACCAGGGAAAGAATTCTTCGATCATCCACCACAGTTGTTTTCTGTGGTCTTCCGGGTCTTTTGGTGTTGCTGAGCTCACCGGTGCGTTCCTTCTTTTTAAGAATGTTCCAAACAGTTGTTTTGGCCATGCCTAATGTTTTTGCTCTCTCTCTCTGATGGGTTTGTTTTGTTTTTTCAGCCTAATGATGGCTTGCTTCACTGATAGTGACAGCTCTTTGGATCTCATCTTGAGAGTTGACAGCAACAGATTCCAAATGCAAATAGCACACTTGAAATGAACTCTGGACCTTTTATCTGCTCATTGTAATTGGGATAATGAGGGAATAACACACACCTGGCCATGGAACAGCTGAGAAGCCAATTGTCCCATTACTTTTGGTCCCTTAACAAGTGGGAAGCACATATGCAAACTGTTATAATTCCTACACCGTTCACCTGATTTGGATGTAAATACCCTCAAATTAAAGGTGACAGTCTGCAGTTAAAGCACATCTTGTTTGTTTCATTTCAAATCCATTGTGGTGGTGTATAGAGCCAAAAATGTTAGAAAAGTGTCGATGTCCCAATATTTATGGACCTGACTGTACCTATTGTTTTTGACTGTTGGCTAATCTTCCTAGAGGTTTCTATATAATGGGAATAATCTTGTGTCAACTTTACCTCGTTACCTAATCATGTGAAATGTTTTTTCCAATGTGTAATATTTGTTTTTATTGTTCATGTGGGGACTGCCCCTAATTCTGAAATGTAAAAAAAAAAAAAAAAACCCTATTTCTGTTCAAAAAAAAGGTTCCTGTTTGCGCCTAAGCTAGTGTAGTATAGTTCTTGGGTGCCAGGCGGTCCGTCACAGAAATCTTTTTTTGTGCCTATTGCAATTCTTGTCAATCGAATGGATCGAGAGGGGGGGGGGGGGGTTAGCTGCTACCTTGCCTAGAGACTTCTTTGGCCAATCCATCTCTGGAGGTGCTGATGACTTTACTGTTTTATCTCACAGGGGTTTCTGTACACATTGCTCACAGACATTACCCTGCTACCCAGCAGGGGCTGTTAGAGAAACTGTAAAAACACAAATTATGATATTCTCAGTTGATAAATGCCTCATACGTTGCATAGCACTTCTGGGCATTAGAAATATATATGTAACTTGAAGTGCAAGAAAACTCCCACTGGGCACTAGTACCTACAGGTAAGCTTATAGTAAAGGTTACCTGTAGGCACAAGGAATATCTCCTAAACATGCACCGATTAGGAGATAATCAGTGTCCCTGCGGCCGATGACGAAACCAGCGTATATGTTCTGAAGGAACGACATACCCATGCCGTTTCTTCAGAGCTCTGTGCCATGGCAGAGAGTCCCATGCTAATGCATGGGAGTGATGTCATTGAGGCTCAGCCAATAAAGCAGCCAGAGCCTGCAAACCCGGTAGGAAGACTGGGTGAAGATGGAAACCTTGTCAGCACGCTGCTGGTGGGCTTCGTTCTAAGTTAAGTCTTTTTTAATGTGCTAGTATGGAATGCATACTAGCTCATTATGACATTATTTTGCAATAGAATTTGTTTTTTTTTTTGTTTTTTTTTGGGCTGGTTACTAAGAGCTCTAAGAGCAAGCTTCAAATAAACATGAAGGCCTAAGATCTAAACATTGTGCAAACATGTGGGTACTGGCATATCTATATGACAAATACTCACAGATCATTCTATTAGACCTCCATTGTGAATGTACCCTTCAAGGTTTCAATGAAGACCAGACCAGGAAGACTGTAGAGCGTCACAGCCCTAATAGAGGCTAAATCCTAATTCAGACTGCACAGTCCAGCCTTCGCTCCCCAAATGAGCCCATGACCCTGTCATGGGTTTGCCAGTTTTCCTTCTACGGACCACTTTTGGTAAGTCCTGACCACTAAAAACCGGGAATATCCCACAAAACCGCAGTTTGGAGTTGCTCAGACCCAGTCATCTAGCCATTACAATTTTGCTCTTATCCAATCAAATCTTCACACTTGTCCATTTTTCTGCTTTCAACATATCAACTACAGGGACAACATGTTCAAATGCTGGTTAATATATACCACCCATTTTCAGGTGCCACTGTAATGAGATAATCACTGTTATGTCATAATGTAATGGCTGATCAGTGTACTGTATAATTAGTGGCAGAATATTTAAACTTTTCCCCAAGCAGGAAAAATCTCATGTGTTTGTATATCAGGTAAAGGGCAGTGCCAGATTAATGTGTTTTAAGCACCGTTCAGAGTATACGGCTTCTCTGAACATCATGACTACTGCTGAATGCCAGCAGATTCCTTCCTTGAAAATGAAACCTCTTCAGGCGAGCTCAACAGGATCACATCATCAAACTGGCTCCATAAAAAGATGCCGGCAGACCCGATGGTTCCACAGTGCTAGAAATAACCACACAACTCATCATAGACCTACCTTGAGTTTTTTTTCTTGTTCACATAATTGTCAGCTTTGTGTCGTTTCTGTAAGGAAATAAAAAGAAACATTTCTTCCATTAGATATTGCGAGGTCAGTTTTCTGGCATTTGATTTATTACTGAAGTAATGAACTATTAACAGACTATGGTTTACAGGAATAACAAAGTGCACCTCTCCTTCCTGCCCTTATGACCCACAAACTACCCACCCTGCCTAGATGTACACTTACCTACCTAGCACAGCATGCAAGCAAAATATTATTACTGGCCACACCTGCACAATCAATGCATATACACTTCTATAGGGTTGTCTCCCAAAGATCCCAAGTAGCTGCCAATCACATCCATACAGTATCTAAACATGGCGGCTACCATGCACAACGTTGTGAATGTAATTAGGCAGCCCAATGGATGATGATCATAACCACAAGTTTACACTGTTGCACTTTAGTTAATTTCCCATCCTGTGTTCCCCTCAATGCCCCCCCCCCCCCCTCTCTCTGCTCTTCCCCAAAACATTGTCTGTCCTGCAGCGCTGATTGGCAACTTCTTTAGCTTTTATCCTGTTTTGTGAGCCAGCAGAAGCCGAGCACATTCATCATTCTGCAGTGCTGAACAACCCACTCTGTGCTCCCCTTTGCTCAGGCATCAGCTGTTCCGACTGATCAGAACTTTGCTTGCCCAGAAGAAAAGAGGCCACCTCTCTCCGACACTGATCTGATCCTGGCCACTTCTGCCCAGTCATCTCTGATCCAGACCACTCCCCCATCCTCTCCTTCAGGGCTCACTAAGATGAGTGGCTCAGTTTACTTCACACCCATAAAGTATGAAAGGGTTTGAAAGTAAACATAGCCATTCATATTGTAAGAGTATCTGAATTTATCCCTACAGAACAGACAGTGCACAGTCCACATGTGTTTGTGCTGCGTCTCTGCAAACAGGAAACAGGAACTTTATTCAGAGAAAAGAGAGTTTTACCATAAATGCAGCTATATAAACTTATAAACATTGCTATCTACTGGTTGAGAAAATATCTCTACTGAATAGGAAGTTGTCACACAAAATACATGAACACTATATTCCAACACATACTGTATGAATGTCAGCAGGTAAAGGGAGGACAGTGATGACTGCCCTCAATGTACAGCTCAGTACTATGAATGAACTTGTTTACAAATACAAATTCATTTATGAATGCAAAAATAAACTAAATATGTACAGTATATAAGACATAGAAAGAGAACATTGTATGCCATTTAAATTTTTGCTGAAAATTTTGGTGTCTCTTTATAGCCTGAATATTTGACACAAAAAAAGAAAAAAGTTCCAAAGAGCATTATTAATATATCACTGAAAATTTACACAGTGCTTTACACGTTGTACATTTACACCCTCAAGGAGCTTACAATCTAGGATCCCTATCTCAAATACTTGCACATACACACGGGCCGAATGGGCATGCTGGAAAACCAGCATCCAATCAGTGCTGGCAGCCAGTGGATGCGAGTGCTATCCAATGTAATCGGGTGGAAGTGGGGGGGAGGGGGAAGTCCCCCTGCCAGAACACAATAGCTCAGAAAAAATAGATATTGTGTACCCGTGTACCCAGCATGGGGCAAATTTAGACAGGAGCCAATTAAGTCTTCAGAGTGTGGGAGGAAACTGGAGTACCCGGAAGAAATCCTCGTAAACTGAAGGAGAACTTTTAAACATACATGTAGTGTCCTTGGTGGGACTAGAACTGAGGACCCCAGTGCTGCAAATCTGGAGTTTATAACCACTGAGCCATCCTATTTTAGCAGCACAAGCACTTCTCACCCTCCAGCAGTTACTCCAATTTACTTGTTACATATCTTATCACTGTCTTACTTCCCATAACACAATAGCCATTGTTCGCTTGAACCACAAAACTCCTATTCTCCAAAACTGTGTCAGGTCCCCGATTGGGATGTTCTGTACAGATTCTGAGCAGTAACAGTGCCGCAGGTGAACAACGCACACAAACTCAGCAGACTAAAGTCTTTGAATTTCAAATGTACAATTCCACCGCTTCACTAGAGACAAAGGGATAATGTGAGCGATAATTTGCTTTATGAGAGGGAGATGAGAGAGCAAGAGAGTGTGAGAAAGAAAAAGAAAAAAAATAGCAAGAGACAGAGAGAAAAAAAAGTGAGAGACAGAGAAAAAAAAAAAAGTGAATGAAAGTGCAAAAGTGAGAGAGATGGATCCAGAGAGATTTCCTATTTAAACTATTACAAGAGACCCCCACAATAATTTAAAGTGAATGTAAAGGTTATTTTTTAAAAAAAAAACTCATGGTATACTTGCCTGCTCTGTACAAATCTTGATCCTCCTCTTCTGGGGTCCCCTGCTAGGGGCTTCTGGCTTCAGAAGTGCCCCCCATGGAAAGTCACTTGCTATGGTGGCACTCATGCAGGCTCGATCCCAAGCCACACTGTGTGCATCGATTGACACACAGTGTAGCACAGCCATGCCTCTCACTACCTTGTCACTGGATTTGATTGACTGCAGCAGAAACCAATGGCTTCCGCTGTTCTGAGTCCAGTGAGGAAGGAGAGGGAGCAGTGCCGCTATTCTTGTGCACAGTGCTGGATCCAGATTGGGCTCAGATACGTATTTAGGGGGGTTGGGAGGGAGATGCAAATAAAAGGTTTTTTACCCAATACAGAGAATGCATTAGAAGGCAAAAACCTTTAGCCTTTACAATCAACGTTAATGCACAGAGCCTCCCACAGGACAATGTTATTATATTTAGGACCATTAAGAGCCCAAGATTGGCGATGCAAACACCAAAACATGGCTCTTATGATTAATAGTGCATCAAATAAGTAATTAAACGCCCTAAAAGGGTACGTTCATAGAAAAAATGGCCGCATAACGCAATTTATAACATTACAATCTCTTCCTAAGAAATAACAGTTTTACTGATTCTGTATAAAATTAGATATCAACTTCTAATACCATTTAAAAATTAGTTATCTAAATATATTTTTATAAATACATAATCAATTATTCTGTTATTTCAACATCACAATTCGAAGACGTATTCCAGTGCACATATCATACATTAATATTGCTCCCTGAATAATCTATACAGAATCAGCACTCAAACCATGTCTAGAGATCAAAAGAAGAGAGCAGAGAAATCTATACAACAATAGGAAAGTCATCTGCTAAATAAACTATCACACGCATAGGCACACATAGGCTGTTAAGCCTGGCAGTGGGAAAAAGAGCCGCTCTCATTATGTATTGATTATGTGAGAGGCATTGAATCAAACAGAAAGCAGTCTATGGCTAACCCTGACAAAACATCACAGCCAGCAGCAGAAAATGAATGAGTATTGTTACCGAGGCTTCCTTCCTGCACCAAACCACAGATACTGACATTGCATATCACATTTTACGAATAACAAACACTTCTGGTTCAAGTAGAACAGCTGTTGATACCTGCAGGAAAATAATTTTTTTTTTTTTTTTTTTAGAAATCAAGAAAATTCTGTTTCCGGGCTTACAGAAAAAAAATGAGGCACCCATGAATGCTTTGTGGCAGCTTCTCCACTGAAAAAATGCAGTGTAAAGTGAGCCTTCATACCCCTCTTTCACTTTATATAGTATTGCACTGCATCCTAAAGTTACAGACACCTTTTTGTGTTGCAGGGATTTCTTTTTTTTTCTTTTTTGTCCAGGTAAGAATGACATAGCTGTTGTGCCCGCAGCCTACTGGGATACACCCATCATGCATCATAAGGCCTGTTTCACACAGGCTTTGGCTTGCATAACAGCAGTGTGAACATCAAGCATTTACAGAGTTTTCATCAAGTTTTGAAGCATGTAAAGTGTCATCCAGTTCCAGTTTTGAATGTTGAACACAGATCCTAATGGGAGTGCTGATCATCACTTTCCTTGTTCAAACATTTTACTGATTTTCCAAGCTAGAAACAAGCTTAGGACATGTAAATACATATACAGTTGTGTTCAAAATAATAGCAGTCAGACATCACTAACCTGATCAATCACTGTTTTTGGTAGAAATTATATTTCTACATGACAAATAATTTACTAGCAGGTGTAGTAGAGTAATAGAAATCCAACAGACCCAACAGTCATGACATGCATGCTGCTGATTCTGTGTCATTGAATCACTAATTGAAGGGGCAAACCCCAAACACACCAGTAAACGTGCAACATCTTGGTTCCAGACCAACAAGATTGACATTATGGAGTGGCCAGCTCAATCCCCGGATCTTAATTCAATAGAAAACTTGTGGGGTGACATCAAAAATGCAGTTTGAGGCAAAAACCAAGAAATAGAGAAGAACTGTGGAATGTAGTCAATCATCCTGGGCTGGACTACCTGTTCACAGGTGCCAGAAGTTGGTTGACTCCATGCAACACAGATGTACAGCAGTTCTCAGAAACAGTGCTTATACAACTAAATATTCATTAACTGATTCAAAGGAAAGCAAAATCTTGAAACATTTTTCAGTTTATATAGTGAATGTTTGAGTTTGTAAAGAAGAATACAAACACTGCTATTTTTTGAACAGTCTAATATTCACTTTTCTTCAATTTTTTTAGAGGAACAACACAAATTTGATATATTTTTCTTCATGTTTTGATTTGGAATAGAATGTGTAGTGTTCCCAATGCATCTGTGTGTATGGAAATAAAAGCGATTAGAAGGATTTTGAGCTTTATTCACTTTTTTCAAACACACTGCTATTATTTTAAACACAACTGTATATAAGTATTGGAGAACATGTAGCCCAAAGGCAAGGAGAAAAAAGTCACGTGAAAAACATACAACTGGAACCAACAAAGAAACATTTGGAGAATGCAATACAAAAAGGAGGGTAAAGCATGGTTATGGTTCAACTACAGTGTACTGCACCTCAGAACTACCTATAGGTTCCATGCGAAATAAAGGAAGAACAAAAAATGGGATCAGGTAGGGAAGAAAGAATAAAGGAGGCCAAGGGGAACAGAGGAAGGGGAGAGGGGGTTTGTGACTTCCAGAAGGGG